CGGGAGGCACAACGGTTGAGCGGGGAGAGGAAGGGGAGAGGACGCGCGGCCCCGCGGCGCCGAGGAGTAGCTGCAGAGGGGCGGGAGGACCCGGGCCGAGTTTCCCGGGAGTTGCGAGCGGGCTCCAAATCTACTGTCTCAAATCCATCCGCCGCGCGCCCGCCCGCCCTCCCTTCCTCCTCTGCCAGCAGCTGCGTGGATGTGAGGAGCAGGCGGAGAGCGCGCCAGAGCCGAGAGCGGGTAAGGCAGGGGGAGACCCGCCCCCGAGACGGCCAGGCCGGAGGGCAGGGCCGCCGAGGCGCGGGACAGACTGCGAGGTGGCTGGAGACAAAGGGCCGGAGCGAAGGGCAGAGGCGACACGGGGGCAAGAGGCGCTGGATGCGACAGAGAGGGGCCCAAGGAAATGGGGGGGAGAGCGGTCTCTCGGGATCGGCCCAGGTCGGCAAACTCCTGCCGTCTGCGCCCACGCCCAGCCTGGAGCCCGCACGTCCGGGCTTCCCCTGGCTCTGTCCTGTGGCCTTGGGTCGCGGCAAGGGGCGTAGCCGGGAGTGTGTGGCTGTGGGGGCCCGGGTAGGTGTGCGCGCCTCCCGGCTGTGACGGACTGGGGAAGGGGAGGAGGGGAGGACTCCCTCCGGAGGGTTCAACCCCTGCAAGCCTCTGCCCTGCTCTCTCCGCCGTCCTGAACTTGAAACAAAAGGGCTGAACTTAAGCCCTCTGGGACAGAGCAAGGTGTCCTTCTGGGAAAAGTGTTTACTTAGAGACTTTAAGTGTCACCTGCATTCAGGATTATTTCTTAACTTTCTGTAGCTGTTCCTAGAAAAGAACAGGTACACATTAAATCTCGGGCAGAGAAGGGCCCGAGTCCCATGTCGAGACCCGCGGCTAACGAATACATCCAAGAAGCTAATAGGAGGGAGCCCCTTTGACCAATTAAGAATTTCTGATGTGTCTCTTGGGGGCCAAGCGTCTCGTGGTGAGGAGGCAGCGCGCGTGTTAGTCTCGTGAGGGTGTGTAAAAAGCGCGTGTGGGGGACTGCCGAAGAGCCTTCCAGGTGAGGCTGAGATGGGAGCTCTGGACCCACAGCCGGCACCTCCCCCTCCTCCCACTGCCCTCAGCCCAGGCTGCTCCGAGGCCAAGGCCTCTGCAGCCTCTTCCAGCGGGGCCGCCAATCAATTCTGCAGGCCAGCACAGCAATTAATAACGAGGTGAGGAGGCTCAGCAAGAGAGGGTGGGGCGGCGTCGGGCTGTCTCCCCCCGGGCTCTGAGGGCCCCCGCGGCAGGACCAGGGAGAGGGAGGGGTCTCTGAGGGCAGACAGAAATCTGGAAACTCAGTGTGGGCCAGATAGTCCAGGGCACCAGGATGGAGAGGCAGGGGACAAGTGGCAGGGAGTCAGAGCCAGCTGGGACAGGCCGGCCGGCGGAGGAAGAATGGAAGGCATCAAATAAACGCCTTGTTTCCCTGGTTCTGGGCGTAGGGGCGGTGATCGGGGAACGCCACAATTCAGCTAGCCGCTGATTCTTGCCCCCTTCCCCTTTCCTGGTGGTTTTCGCTGCTTCAGAACAGGCTCTGCGAGACTAAATAAAACCCGCATCTTTCGCAAACCCGGCTGCGGCGCTGGCGCCGGGCCCGTCCGGCAGGCACGCTCGGTCGTGCGCGTCTGTTGTCCTTTAAACTAGCCAGAAGGGGCCAAAAAGGGTGTTGGGGCCGTCTAGGGGACACCGGGCTCCCAAGGAGGTGCGCCCAGATGTGGCTGTGGAGATGAAGGCACAGGAGCGGGAGGTGGAAATGAAAAGGGACGGAGGGAGAGAAAGTGGCTGGGAGCGCGGAGGACTCCGCGGCTCGGCTAAGCGGGGCCGCCTGGAGGAGGACAGCGGTGTCCTTTTCCTACTCGGCTCCGCGGCTCCTCCCTACTCTTCCCTAACTGTGGCTGCCAGGATGTGAGCCCCGCGTCCAGCACTAGCGGGAACGGAGGGAAGGGAACGGGAATGCGGTACGCCGCCGGTGCCCGCCCCCCCTTCCCCGCCCTACCTCCCCCCACCCCAAGCCGCGGGCCGCTGAGCCACACAACGTCCGGTGTGGCTCCTTGGCCAGATGCAGGTAGGCACAGGTGCCCCTGCATAAGTAGGAAACGCCCTGGCCTCTTCTGGAGTAGCCAGAGTGCCAGGGCACTTGGGGTGAGGACCCTGCCAGGCGCTCAGGAAGCCTAAGCCCCCCGCCCCCGCATTGCTCCGTCTTCCTGAGGCGTTGGGGAGCAGGCCTGGATGCACCTGCTGGGACTCAGGCCTGCAAGGCACGGAAAGCCGCCTGCGAGGAGGGAAAGGAAAGTGGGAGTATTGGGAGCCTGAGCACCCTGGAGGAGGCTGAAGGCAGGGCAGGTGCAAGGCTAGGAGGCCCAGGAGTCTGGAAGCAAAACAGATTCAGTGGCAGGAAAATAGAAGCTCAGTACAGACAAGGAAGGAAGGGGGAGAGAGGTTCCCAGGAAGGCCCAGCCATTAGGTCTGTCCTTGGGCTGCATATTTATACGGTCGAGGGGGTGCACAGATGGGCTCTCAATTGAATTCCATCTTCAACACCATCAGAGATTGATTTTGTACTCGCTTTTAATTTTGCCATAATTAATTAGATCATTACAACTGTTTGCTATTGATCTCCCTACTTAAACCTCTGGTGTGGAGGGTCTGCCCAGAGCCCTAAAAGCCCAGGAGGCCACGGTTGATACTTCTGGGGGCCCAGATTCCCTGGTGGACACAAGGCCCCCTGATGGGAGTGGGGACAGCCCGGGGACTGGGCCTAGCAGCCAGAGCACAGGCAGTGCTGGGGGGTGGGGTGGGACCTGAGTTAGCAGCTGAAAGGACTGGAACCTGAGCTGGAAGGGAGGAGCAAAGGAGAATGAAATTTGGGGAAGGTGAGGAGTGAGGCCAAGAAGGTCTGAGGTTAGGCCTGACCTCTGTGGAATCATTTGGAAAATTCTAGAAACCTGATGCAACCCTCTCCCTCTCCACTGAAACTAAACTTGGGCACTTGGCTTCCCTGCCCTGACAACACCAGGGCACCTAATTGGACAGTCAGAGCTGAGTGGGCAGCCCTGAGGGAAAAAGAGTAGCCCTTGGCTAAGGAGACCCCGAGGCTCCTGTGAACCTCCCTTGATCTCCTGGGCAGAGCTTTCTCGACACAAGGCTGGGCACATCTACACTGGTGTTCAGGCACCCAAGACCCAGGCGCACAGGTGACTCAACCATGCTCAGGCAGCTTTCCCCACTCCCCGACGCCTGCGCTCTCTTCTCACCAGAAACTGGGGCCTTCCCAATACCCCTAGCTTGGAGAAAGTTGTGCAAAAAATGTGCGGAGAGAAAGTGCGAAGACGAGCTTCCTACCCACACAACAGAAAGGAAGGCCAAGTTCTGCAAAGAGCCCGGCCAAGTTGCAACACTCCTGCTATCTGGATGGAAAGTTTTTAGCGAAAGATTTCGAGGACACTGGGAGGGAAGGCCCCGGGGTTGGGGGAGTGCGCAGAGCCGAAGTCGCCCGCGGACACCAAGCACCGAGAGGAAAGAGAAATGCAGTCTACCAGCCCTCTGCCCCGACGGCCCCCACCCCTCTCCGGCGCAGCCCTGCCCTTGCCAGCGGCGGTGACGGGTCTCTCCTAGCTCTTACCTGCCCGACTCGCGCGCTGTTCCATGCTCTGCTCCCCGCGCCGCCGCCTCCTGGGCCTGGGTCTGCCTTCCTCGCTTCTTTGCGGCCCGACAGCGCGTCTCGCCTTCGCCACCGCCGCCCCGAGATCTGGGCGCAGCCACCCAAGACCGAGCGGCTCAGATAACCCAGGCTGCCGCCGCCTCGGCTGTGCGCTCTGCTCGCGCCCGCGCTCCCACACACGGCCGCGCCGAGGCACAGCACACGCGGAGAAGCCCCGGGCTCTCCGCCCCGCGCACACGCGCGCACACGCACCGAGGCCCCCGCCAGCCGCAGGCAAGCCGGAGGCACCCACAGACCGAATCCCTGGGCTCGCCGCCGCACCCCTCCCCCTCACCCCCTCTCCGCACTGTCACTTCAGTCGCACTGCTGCGCTCGCAGGGGCGTCCGCGCTCGCCCGTCCTCCCCAACTTCGTGCGGCTCCCTCTGCCCGCGCCGCTTCGGTTCCACCGCCTCCCACACGGCCGCGGGGCTCAGTCTCAGTGCAGACTCGCCCCAACTTTCCCAGGCCCCTCAGTCCTTCCCGGAGGTCCCTGTCACCACTGCGTTCATTATGGAACTGCTCAGTAGATCTCTCACAAGCTCTCCTGCTCCAGGTTCCTTTTTTTTTTCTTTCTTTTTAAATAACTCAGAGAAAAAAAAAAATCGCCGGTTTCTCTGCCTATTAGGAGCCGGTGAGGGCTCAGGGGAAGGGGAAGGACCCCACCCTCCGGGGTTCACCACACCGACACAGCCACCTGCTGCAGCCCTGCCCTTCTACAGCACTCTGGTGCCTCACCCCTGCTGTGTGTGTGTGGGGGGCTCTCGACCTCTCCCACAGCATGCCCTCCCAGGCCCCAAATTCTCCCTCAAGCCTCTCACCCCCTGCTTTTCTGGCTCCCAGCCTCCTGTACTCCTGCCGCTGGCCTGGGGAAAACCTCGTGAGCACTGTGGCTTCCACCCCTCCCGTACCAGGGCCCCTTCTCTTTCTCTGCTGTGCTCTCTGTCGTATTCCCCTGCTTGCCCTGGGCCTCCCGCCCTTGCCTGGCCTTGCCCACAGCACCGGGGAACTGCCAGGCCGGCAAGGAAAGTGCAGGGACCAACCCCAGGTGCTGGCCCACTGGGCCCATTTTCTTTCAGGAACTGGCAGTTGTCTCCTGGGACTCCCTTCCTTTGGCTAAATTTCCTCTACAGAGGTTGTGCAGCTCGGGACAGGAAGCTGAGGGCACAAGAACCCAGTGGCAAACCTTCATCATGGCTCTCCAACGTAAACTTGAAAAAATATGACTCCACCCTGTCAGGCCCCTCATGGCTAACGTGGTCATCTTACCAACGTTGCTGATTCCAAACATCAGACTTTCTCGCTCGCTCGCTCGCTCGCTCTTTCTTTTTTTTTTTCCCATCAAACAGTGATTTTCCAACCCAAGGGCACAAAACCCTAAAAAGAGAATTTTTTAAAACAAATTATACACAGAGGAACATCTCTGAGGATAAGTCCAGGAGAGTAACATGTACAACAAAATCCACAACTGTCGTGTTGTCACTCCATTGCACACACCTGAGGCGGTCACTCACCTCATTAGCCTCTTCCTGTCACCTCCTGCACCACGCCCAGTCACCCAGAGGGGTGAGGACCCTCACCGGGCGCTCTTTGTGCCCTTCTCTGAGATAGTGATCCTAATTCTGCCCTTCTCATAGGCTGTGATGACGAGTGTGCAAGGGATCACTAAAGTGCCAAGCATGGCCACACCTGTGCGTGCTGCATGTCACAGACATGAACAAGATCTAATGTCCCAGGCACACAGGCAGAGGGGCAACGGCTGGGAACTGCACAGTGTCCCCTGACTGCTTCTAAGCCAGCTTGTCACAATGACCTGAACACGGAGCCCAGAGTTGGGGCAGGGCCAGGGCCTAGGCCCCAGGCCCCAGGCAGGAAAGGTAGCTGAGGCTGTTGGACTGAGCAGTCTGTCCCATACCAGAAGGGTAGAGGAAGAAGCACCTCCTTAGCTCGTGGCTCTGACACTCTTCCTTTGGAAGCTGGCAAAGTGGTGCCAAAGGGCCTGGGCCCCTGCCTCAGCCCCCCAGCAGCCCCCTCTCCCACTGTGTTTCTCTTTGTCTCCTGGTCTCGCCCCTGTCCCCCACAGTCTCTCAGGCCCTTTTGCTCATCGCTTGCACCATTGATTGAAAGTCTCTCTCAGGTTCTCCAAGGAGTCCCAGGAAAAATGATCCGCCAGCCTATTGATTCTTCATTAGAATTACATTTTCACGTGTGCTAAATTGGTTTTAAAAGCTTTTTCTGTTGTTATTGTCTTGTCAGACCCTGCGGTCCAGGGCAGACCAAGTTTAAATGTTGTGGCTTCTTAGGGGAAAAAAAAAAATCACCAGAGCTGGGTCTGTGATGATTCGCGCCTCCGCCTCATTGTTGTCATGATGACACTTGTGATTGGGCTTCAGTATCTCTAGGACAAGGACCCTGCAGAAGGCTGCTCAGGTCAGGCTAGGGCTGGCTGCGGAGGGATTTGAATCCCCGGAGAAAAGACACCAGGAGAGCGTTCTGTTCCTGAACATTGAATGTAGCACTTGAACCTGCATTAGTTGCTCTGGGACAAGAGGAAGAGGAAAGTTTAAAAAAAATTTTTTTAAGATCCTTACTCCCCTTCCCAGACTGAATAAAGGAGAAATTAAAAACACCTCCTCCCCTTATTCGACTTCCCTCCTTTCTCCCTTAAATAGCTGGAGAGTGGGGAGGACTGTCCATCTTCACCAGGTGCTAAAGGCAAGGCCAGGCTGGTCACTAGCAGGGCGGTGAGCCTTATAGTCTGCAGTAGCCAGAGAGGAATGAATCCAAATGGGGGGGGGGGCGGGGAGGGAAAAGAGGTGGAAACTGGGTGGACGAAGGGAGAGACTAGGTGAGGGAGGGGCTTGGGACCCAGACCCTCAGAGAGACAGACACCAGGGACAATCTAGTGGACAGAGGTAGAGATGCAAAAGACAGAAGAGGATGGGAAAGAAGGAAGGCAGGCAGTAAAATAAAAAAGGAAAAAGGAGAGAACGGGAAAGGAGGGAAGATAAAGGGAAGGGAAGGGTGAAGGTGGGCAAAGGAGCAAGCCCCAGGGAGCTCCCTGCCCCCGCCCCCGCCCCCGCCCGCTCCCTGGCAGGGCAGCCAGCAGGCCTCGCGGGGAGTGGACACGGGCAGCAGCGAGCCGAGCAGGAGAGCTGAATGTCTCCGTGATGTGTTTATCCCCTAATCAGTTCATTAGTTATAAACAACATGACATTAGAAGTTAGGAGGCAGTTGATATTAATTTTTATTTAACTAGTTGATGTTTAATCCGTCACGCCAGGCTGGGTAGCAGCGAGAAAGATCTTCCTGACACAAAACCAGTTAGAACTTCATAAGGCGCAATCAGTGTCCATGGGTTGAAACAAACAAGAGAGACAGAGACAGAGAGACGGGGAGACACTGAGAGACAGAGGAGCCCTGCCAGAGGCCTACTCGGCCTGGGTGGGAGCTGCACGAACAGGCTGGAAAGACAGAGCTGGGACAGGACAGCCCCGGTCCCAGAGCCAAGCTCAGCACAGCCCAGACGTGACGGCGGGAGGCCCAGGACGGCCCAGAGCGGGCAGCGGCAGGGAGATCGGCCAGGGCCCAGCCTAGCCTCGCTGTGGTAACCGGGGCGCCTTCGGGAGAGGAATGCTTTCCGGTGTCCGGCAGCGTGGCGGGCGGCCAGGGGCTAAAGGCCCAGGAGGCGAGGGCCCGACTTTGGGAAACTCATCCCTCTCCCACATCTGCTGGTGGAGAATGCCCTCCTTCCCTGCCCTGCTACAGGAAGAGCAGGGCCCCTGGCTAGAGAGAGCAGCCCAGCCCGGCAAGGAGTTTGCGCCCAGCGGCTCAAGTTTGACAAACTTTGCAGCGGTCACAAGCCAGAGCTGGGTGGGTGTGTGCATGTGCGGGCCAGGGGTGCTGTCAGTGGCACGGAGGGAGGGCGGGAGAGACAGCCTAGGGGTCTTGCAGACCCCAGGGGGCTCCCCCCCCCCCCCCTGCGCCGGCCGCGCCCGGCCCCGCGACTCCCCTCCTCGGGCGGCGCCCCCACCCCGTAATTAGCATCGTTTAGTTCACAAAACCTTTCCTGGGAGAAATCTGTTCCCTCGTTCCAGGGCTCGGCTCAGCACCTGATTCCGCCGGGTCAGGCAAATAAATCACTGCGGTGGCAGGGGAGCGGACCCGAGCCCGCCAGGCGGGGGCCGCCCGGGAAAACGAAAAAGTGAGAAAGAGGCGGCGGAACCGGGCGCCGAGGCAGCCCCAGCCCGGCGAGAGCGCCGAGCCCCCGGGGAGGGAGACCCAAAGCCAGGGGCAGGGAAGGGGCTGTACCGCCAAGAGACAGTGAGAGGGAGAAGCGAACGAAAAAAGGGAGATGAGCAGGAGAAGTCACAGAGGAAAGAGCAAAGAGGGAGATTAAGAAGGAGGGGACCAGAGGTTGAAGAAAATAAAAGAAAGTCAAAAGAGCAAATCTTTTGTTTATCCACAAAAACTCCGCTGCTGGGCGCGGCAGTGAGAACGCACCCCGCGGCGGCCGGAGCCCGGCGGCGGGCGGTGGCCGCAGACCCGGGAGGCCCCGGCCGGCCGGGAGCTCGGCCTGCGCAGCTCGGGCCCCAGGCGGGCTCCGGCGCAGAACTGGACTCCGGTGAAGTTCAGGGCGCTAGGCGCACGGGAGCGCCTGCCCTGCAAGCTGTTTGCGTGTGGGGTGCCAGCCTTGGTCCCGGCGGGCGGGGGCGGATAAAAAGCACAGGGCTCTTTTTGGGTGAGGGGGCGCGCGTTGGGCGCCTGCGACTTTCTGTCCCAGCGTGAAGAGAGGCGAGGACGCGGGGTGGGCGGGCTGTGGCGCTTAGCTCAGACCTCCAAGGTCTCCGCGCCTCGACCCCGCACTCTTCCGCAGGAGAGTGGAGAAAGGCCCCCCTCGGAGGATCCCCAGCATCCAGGCTCGCGCGCCCGGCTACAGCTCCGAGAAAAAACGAACGCAGCGAGAAGCGCGGCCGGGCGCCAGCGGAGGGCGCATTTCCTGAGCCGCCTCGCCGCGGCTACGCAGCCGCGCCGCGCAGATGTCACCCGCTCCCGGCGCCCGGTGCGGCCCTGGGCTGCCCAGGCCAGAGCGTGGAGAGCAGGAAAGGAAAGAGAAGGAGAAGTGGGGAGGCGAGGTGTGTGTGGGGGTGTCGGTGCAGATGAGAAGCAAAGAGCATGGAAAAGTGGGGGTGCCAGAGGCTGTCTCCCCTCCCATCAGACGAGGTCCCTGCGTGGACATAGGTGGGAGCGCCCCTTCCCAGCCTCACCGTTTCTAGCCCAGGTGGTTTGGCGCCCCCAGGACCTCGAGCTGTAGCCTGAGACCCCAGGCACGGTCGCTGGAGGCCGCTGTGTGCGCCGGACCGACCAAGCGTAAAGAGAAGGCGGTTTCTCTGCTCACTCGCAGCCTCTGGGACGACAAACGCCCGCAAAATTGCCAACCTGTGAAGCTTCCAGGTCGATCTGGTCCGCTCCGTCTCTCCTTGCCTGCCCCTCCCCCACCGTCTCCCCCCACCACCCGGACATGAGTCAGCCACGGAGCTGGGCAATAGTGGGGGGGCGGGAGGGGCGGAGGAGGGAAGTCCTCCAGGAAGGAGACTTTTAGTCACTTCTGATCTCTGCACAGAAACAGGATGCGGCTGATGCCCAACCAGAATTCTCCAGGCTGGAGCAAGTGGGCAGGCAGCGGCTAAGCTGGGCACTGGACTGACATGGCATCAGTTAGTCAGTCAATGAACATGGGTCTGCATGTGCCGGTCACCGTGACTAGAGAGGTAAATCCGACCCTGGACATTATCTACTGGCAAAGAGAGAGCTGGAAACCAAGAAACTGCAGAAAGTGCAAGGTGCGGGCTAGGAGGATGGCTGGGGGTGGCAGGTCACACATCCTAAAGAGGCTGGCTTTGGGCAGATGATTAGATATATACCAAACGCCGGGCACTAGAGGCAGCGGAGCGTGAGAGTGCAGGCGTGAGAGCAGCAGCTCTTCCAGCCGGGGAACCGAAAAGGATTCCGTGAAGCTGTGGGGACCGTGCAGCAACATGGGGACAGTGTGCCAGCGTGGGGAGGGAGGCAAAGGAACCAAGGCTGGGAGGTGGGCAGGGCCGAGTGGAGGAGCTGGTCTGCGAGGGAGTTTGGATGAGTCTCAGGTAGGTCAGAGGATGCCTTTGAATCAGGGAGTGAAACAGATCTGATTTGGAGGGGAAAAGCAATTTTTGGGCTGGAGGAGCGTGAGCAGAGTGTGGGCAAGTGGTTTCCACTAGAGACGATCTGAGACCTCGGAACAAAACCAAAATCCAAGGGAGACAGAGAAGAGAGGGTAGACTTGAGAGATGGAGACAGGATGCGGGCAGGTGTCACGTCTGTGAACTGGGGGTAGGAATCCTGGCCCTGTAGAATTGTTGCATGGGTTAAACAAGCTCACGTATCCCTGGCATGTAGATGTTTGACTGTGTCAGTCCGTTAGCTGCCCCCATCTCAGCCCCAGACTGCCTCACACACTGGGGTCTGTCTCCTAGGCAGGCACATGGAGTCAGGGGAGCTGTCCATCTAGAGGGCCCCACTCAAGCAAGCTGGTGATAACAAGTAACATGCCTGAGGGGTTGTTCTGAGTGCTGTATACACAGTTTTGCCCCTAACCTTTACCAGCTACTATTAATCCCATTTTACAGATGCGAAAATTGAGGCACAGGTAGTTTTAGTGACTCATCCATATTCGCACAATGAGTAGGTGGCAAGGGTAAGGTCTGTACATAAATCTTCCCTTCATAACCTGTACTCTTAGACGAATATTAAAATATTCCATGTCCCCAGTGGGAAGTTGGGGTTGGGGAGGAGAAGCCATTCTGGCTGTGGCTGGGGGGACTCGTCAAGGGCACCTGTTTGGTGAAACCAGGAACCCTCCTCCCCTCTCTCTTCAGACCCTCCCAGCAGTCCCTTTCACTACCTCTGGTCTTTTCTGAGACCAGGCCAGTGGAGACTGAAGCTACACGCCCACTGGGCTGCCAGCAGCACTCCAGGAAGCTCCGAGCCCCTCGGGCCTTCCCTGCTGGATGGCGTCCCCCACCAGGCACCCCCAGTCTCTTCCAGCTTCCAGGCCTGTGGCCTCAGTGTGGGAGGAGCCTCCCTCCATGCCTTATTCCAGATGGGCTCAGCCTCTGCTCAGGCTGCAGGGAGTCCTGGTCCTCAGATGCCAGCCACAGACCAGAATCCCAAGGGCTGATCCTGGTGCCCCACATGCAGGCCTGACCTGGGTTGCCCCCTGCAGATCCCCCAGGAGCCTGCCCCCCCAACCCAGAACCGCAGATGGATAGGGGTCCATCCTCTCTCCAAGCTCCCCTGTGTCCACACAACCAACTCTGTGGCTGACCTGAGAGCTGCCCCATTCTATCCCAGAATGCCCTGCACTCCCTGCTGTCTTTTTTTTTTTTTTTTTTTTGACAGGCAGAGTTAGACAGTGAGAGAGAGAGAGAGAGAGACAGAAAGGCCTTCCTTCCATTAGTTCACCCCTCAAATGGCCGCTACGGCCGGCACACTGCACCAATCCGAAATCAGTAGCCAGGTGCTTCCTCCTCCTGGTCTCCCATGCGAGTGCAGGGCCCAGCACTTGGGCCATCCTCCACTGCCTTCCCGGGTCACAGCAGAGAGCTGGACTGGAAGAGGAGCAACCGGGACAGAATCTGGCGCCCCAACCAGGACTAGAACCTGGGG